GTCGGGCTAAGGGCCCTTCGCATTCACGATAGCCTTGAACGACTTACAGAAAAATATCGGGGCTTCTCAGCCGCTTTTCCTCCACGGTTGTGGGGCTACATGAAGTCCGGGAGTTTGTATTAAGTGAATAGTGCGAGCGACGCCTTAGGGATCGTTTGTATGGTTGTAAACTAGTCATTTTCATTCATGTGTGTTTATAACAATTCACAATCCATAATTAATCCAACATCACCAGGACTCAACGAATACACCTGTTGTAACGAAATAACAAGATACAAATTATTTGATGCAATGTATTAGGAAAACATCGGGTTTTCCTAGGGTTTTCAATTAGTACACCTACGAGTTACATACCGAGTTTTACAAATCGCTCTTTTACATTTATAGAAACAAACAAGCATACGTACGGATCTTCACACTTTTTATACTAAGTTCTTTTTAGAAAATACCGGATTTTCTGGTGATTTTCAAAACAATACAAACCACTATATTTCAAACATTACTTATGAACTCACCAACATTTCATATGTTGACGTTTTTCAAAATACTTGTATTCTCAGGTAACAGGTAAACCGAAGGGAAAAAATGTACTCAGTGATGTCTTGTTGTTTGTTTAACTAGTATTGAACAATCTACCTTTGAGAATGTAATGTTTTGAAGCTATGTACTGAATGTAAACGCAACGAGTTGTATTGTTCCAATGTTTGGTATTGTATGATGTTATGTTTCATGTATATTCATTGTGATGGTATTCAATTGAGTCACAATAGCCCTCGGATGTTTCCGCCGTCTGGTTTGGGGTTGTGACATATGGGATCAAATAGAATGTTGAATAAATGACTCTACCATGAGCCCACAATCAGACAAGGAACATGAACTAACGGTGAATAAGTATTTTTAGCGCTATATGATCCTAATCGTAGATAATTTTTAAACATACACTAAGCAAATAACTTCACCAGGTAGATTCCAAGTAAGTCATAACATCAAGGCATCACAAATCAGACAAATCTATCATGAAATTCCTAAAAGTATCCTTAGCCCTATCCAAGAAAAAAAATCAGAAAATTATATCATGTAATTCTTGAAAGTATCCTTAGCATTATCCAAACAATCAGTTAACATAAATGCATAATACTCATGTATGGGTATTTTGGGAATCGGTTACTTGTGCTGGCTGATTACATGTATCACATACCTTTCTTTGTGAAAATATGTTTAGAAAATCTATTTTCTGTTTAAAAATATCACAAATTCGTCGGTTTGAGTTCAGACACATTCAAGAGTGTGCCCGAATCCCTCAAACATGGCTATGATACAAACTTGTAACATCCCAAAAATACTAATAAAAATTTTCATTTTTCCAACCATCAAATCCATAAAATGTATGTTCTAAAGTCAACCATAGTAAAAATAACCCAATCATCAAAGTCAAACAATAGTCATCAATGCGAAAAACCATACGGGGGGTAATGTGCAGCCAAGCCAGGCTCTTCTCTTTTAAAATGGAAGTACCTGGAAATTTTAAACCACAAACTGTAAGGACGAGGCTTAGTCAGTTCCCCAAAATACCAAAAACCATACATATCGGGACCCACCCTCATAATGGACCCCTGCCCATCATACAAACAGGCACAAACGAACTTACAAACAAGCCCAACCCAACATACAAATGGGCAAAACCAAACATACAAATAGGTCCAACCCAAAATACAAACGGGCCCAACCCGACATACAAACGGGCTCGACCCAACATACCAATGCAAGAGTCACAAAGATAACTAGCATCCTATAGAGTATAGTGATAAGACTCACCTCTCTCATGAAATCAGATAAACTATAACTCAACCTTCCACAACATGTGCTACAACACACATAACAAATCAAACGAGGTCCATCCTTAATTTATACTCTAAATCAAACAATCATGACCAAAAGTCAGCACAAAGGTCAACAAGTCAACGGTCATGGTCAAAGTCACCTGTCAAGATCTCCTTTAGCTAACCTTCATGTCATGACCAACCCGTGGTCACGTCGTGAGAAAGACACTCATCCTAGTCCTAACTCGGTCAACATCCAACTCAACCAACTCAGTACCGATCCAAGCTACCTTCATGATGTGATAACCAGGCCATCACATCATGACATAAACAATCCAAAACAATATGGAAATCTCCAGTCATCACGTCGTGATAAGGGAGTTGTCATGTTGTGATGACGAGCTTTCTCAGCTTAATAGATTCAACTCTCAAGCCACTAAGCCATCCATCCAATCTTCCTAGAGGGTTTCCTAACGTCTAATATTATCTAAAGATTATTGCTTTTTAGTTATGCATGTGCATGGGTCCAATACACAATCAAATTTAATGTCTAATAATATCTAAAGATCAATGCTTTTTAGCTATGCATACTCATGGGTCCAATACACAATCAAATTCTAGATTTGAACCATATAACACTCAAATGGCTTCAAGGATCCATAAACTTTCCAACTTTATGGAATTCCGTTACTTTAACTTGCTTAAACTTGAAGATAGAGGGACAAGGACTTAGATGTAGCAACCTAAACACATAAAGTTTGGATCTTGGACATTTATAAAGGTCCAGAGATGCCCAAAATAAAATCCCAAGCTTTCCAAAATGCTCACAACACTTCTAAGGCCTTCTTACTACTTCAAAAACAATCCAAACCAATAACATAAACTTTTAAATAGAGGAGAGAGATTAGGGTTTCTAAAGAGCATTTTGGAGGTGATGGATGATGAGGTTGAAGGAAATCCTAGCCCCTCACTTCCCTTAAATAGGGCCCAAGACTGAAAATTAGGGTTGCCCCTGATCGGGTGTCATGTCGTGACACTTACATGATCCTTCACGTTTATCATGGCCATTTCATGACGTGATGGTGCTTCCTCATGTCGTAACCCACCCAAAAATCATATTTTACTTCAAATTTCATACCTTGTGGATCCAAATGTTATACTGTGGCATACATATAAGTTCTCCATGCAAGGGAAACCCTGGTATGGGTCTTAAGGGTCCTGGGCCTCTACTTGATTTTATATCCCAATGGTATTTTTTGTATTATTGTGCAACAACTAAATAATTATACAACTAGTATTAGGTCTAACATCTAACAAATATGATGTACCAACTCGTAAAAAAATAGCCTAAACTTTTAAAAGATAAGGTCAATGGAATTTAAAAAATTAGCCCAACAAAACCATACCTTATGGTCTTTAAACAATACAAGTTAAAATAAACCTAATTTTTATTTAAAACATATTGTTTTATGTGGAATAAAAGAAAGGAAGCAAGCCCAATCTTTTTTCTATTAGAGGAAACGCACAATAGGAAGAGAAAAGAAACAAAAGCCAGTGTAGAAAAGAAACAGAAGAAGAACATGTATCTCTCAATGAGAAGGAAAACATCACACATATCTCCAATTTTCGACTCTTCCAAACTGCAAGCAGCCAAGCAAAAATGTTTGTGAGCATTTATGCTTCCTTGAATCTAATTTTCAGAGATCTTTCCAAACCCTAGGATGAAACAAGTAAGTTTGATCTTTTATTAGGCTTATGATCTATGAAATTAGTTTTTTTTGGGTGAAATTATTAGTTGATTTTGGTGAAATTAGTAGTTTTTTTTTTTTTTTTTTTTTTTTTTTTTTTTTTTGCTTGAAATTAGTCCATGATATGTTAAGGTCAAATTTAGTCTTTTTTTTTAAAGAGATCAACCTCCAATGAATCAAGTGTTGAATGATCATCCGAAAGACATGGTTCCGATTCCAATCAATCATTCTCTTCGTTTTATAATGCGATCTAACAAATAATAATCCAAAATAACCTTAATGAATACAAAAGGCGTAGATAAGTTACTCTATGTTGTAGGATAAATCTTTAAAAATTAGGTCAAAATTTTATCTAACAAATAATAGCTAAAACCTTAAGAAATGCACAAAACCCAAACTGTAGTAAAGCTTTTTTTAGTTTAAATTCATTTGAGTTTAAAGGGTTTTATGAGCTTATTCCGTTCATGTGCATCACATATTGCGTCGAGTTGACATGAGATTAACTGTGTTGTAGCTATGTTGTGTTTTTTAACCTGTTTATTGCGTCGGGTTGATATGAGATTAACTGTGTTGTAGCTATGTTGTGTTTTTTAACCTGTTTATAAAATATACATGTTTAGATCCATCACTCTCAACCCAATTAATGTCTCGACCAGACACAAACTCCACCTAACCTATTTTCTAGGTCTATGTTATTATATTTGATTAGAGAAAAAAAGTATGTCACTACTTCTAAACAATCTTGTATCCGTCCTTGTCTCCACGTACCCTCATCGTACTAGCAAGCATACGCCAACTTTTTTTGAAATTCAAAAACATCTTGTGCATACATCCTCCTCCCGATCAAACTGCACCATACTATCTATAAATATACTGTATTATTTAGATAAATATATTGTATAATTATGTGGATAATATTGTGTATATTCTTCCCTTAATTATAGGTTTTACCATGTACGTGTAGTTGTACTTGGCAATTATCAATGAGAAGAGCAAATACATAATTTAGCATTTAGGTAGAAATATGAATACGAAAAATAAACTTCCACAATGCTCGAGCTATTTAGAAATTCCTTCATTATCAAACAACCAAACTTGTGGTTGTTATTAATATTTGGTAAACCCGAATATTAGCAACGAGTCTTAGGTTATTTGTATATTTGTGCACAACTTCTTTTTTTTTTTTTTTTTTTCATATAATGGCAAGGTCGCAAGGCTTTATGTAAACAAAAAGAGACTAGCTAAAAGATGGTTATATATACAAATTATTACAAGATAGATGCGGGGATATATCTATTCCAAATTATTACATATACAAATAATGGAAAATTCTAAGAGGATTATCTGCAATAGTTATGCTTATACGATCATGAAGGTAAACGAAAATATAATCAAATGCTAAAGCATCAAAAGCCGCACCAATATTACTCCCCTACTCCACTGCATCCGACACCATATTTTCAACCAGTAGTCCTCCAATCAATACGCTTGCCAATCCAAAACCAAACTTACCCTTCCTATCCATTGGTTTAAAAGGAGTTATTATTATATACGTAACCCTTGTTGGTTTGAATAGGGTTGCGGATACAAGCTACCACCATAATGATGATGTCCTTGGTAGGAGTTGTATCCTTGAGCAGGAGGCCGGTATTGTACCTGTGGGTAAGACGGTGCACCTTGCTGCGGCATGACGTATGCGTTACATGGAGGACAGCTTGTGTTCACCGAATCTATACTAGTCGCGTTGTTATTATTGATTTTGTTTGTTTGGGAGATTCTTTCCTTAAATTTATGGGAAAATGTTAGGGTACCTCTGGCTTTTCCTCTAATAGAGCGTACCTGGTATTCAACCACATGTTCTTTGGTTTCAGATCCGGAAACGCATTCAAGGAGTTCACGCACAGGGATCGAGACCTCACCAATAATTCTATCACCTAATACACGTCTGCTCATAAGGCTGAATATGAGGGTGCTGTTTTGGGTAGCGGATTCCTCGACCAAAAACTTGATGCGATGGCTCCATATAGGGTTTTTGCCACCTTTGGATACATGGGTCTGTTGTTTAGTTACTGAATTACCTGCGACTAACGAAACCACGACATACACACCCATCTTCATGAAAAAGTTGACATTTTTCAACGCACTTGCGGAGATCACGGTAATGTCCAGCCCACAATGATCCATTGTTTGATGATCAAAATGAATTAAACACCACCTCGCTCAACTTTCTTTTAGATTGATCTGTTCTTTCTTTCCTCATCCAATGCTTGTTGGTGATATAAACGAGACAAAGATATGTATGAACGGAATGTTACGGATATTCTAAAAGTTTATGTTAGAGATCTTTCTTTGAGGTTATCATAATATATCATAAAACGAGGGAGTTGTAGGAATAAGACGGAGATAAATAGATGGCCATGGTGTTGTGTCTGCGCGTGTGGATAGGTTCGTGTTAATACGAGTTTTACGGTTATATCGGTCTATATATATCAGCGTATATATCTCCATTGATTAAAGAATATAATATCAATTGGGATTTGTTTGTCATATATATAAAACGTATCTAATTCCCTAAGGAAGAGAGGAAGCTATATGATAATTTTCTCTCTGTAGGTAGCTTGGGGAACCATAGCTTATTTTTAAAGAAAAGAATATTCATATAATTACCTTTTTTAGGTTCCACTAAAAATACACCCCATTTACTAGACACTAAGACAAGTATAGTTGATTTAGAAAATATTAAACTTAGAGTATAAAAATGAATTTTTTTTTAATGCATAACTTTGTAATAAGAAAAAAATAAACGTATTTATTACAATTTAATATCTTATATATATTACATTTAATATTGTACGCATATAAGTATATGATTTTAATTAAAAATTAAAACAAACTAAAAATTGACAAGCGCATAATATTTATTTCAAAATTACCATAAAATAATAAGTGTCAAAACTCATGAGAGATTGACAAATAATAAAAAAAACCTTCGTTTATTAAAAAGGATTATATCTTTATGTTTCATAGATTACTTTTGAATAAAAACATATTCGTCATATCATTATGTTTCCCAAAATTTGTCAAGATTTGTTTGTATATAATAATGATTGTATGCTAAAGAGTAATGACTTTAGGATTTAAAAAATAATAAAGTTAGAATATAAATTGAAATGATTTGGAAGGAGTTTTTGATAAAATGATGTTTTTATAAAAAAAAATTAATAAATAGGTGTAGTTTTAAAAATGTTTACCAAATAAGTGTACTTTGAAATTTTTTAATTTATCTTAAAATTTCAATCTTTCTAATTATTTTACTGTTTTTTTAGCATACTTATTTTACTTTCATTTGTAGCTTTTGCTATAAAAAAATGTGTGTTTTCTTTATTTACATCAAACAAGAGAAAAAAGAAAAAAATGGTTTGTACATTGTTCGACAGATTAGAACACAAAACAATGAGAATATTTTTTTTCTTAATTTTTTATTATTATAGTATCTACATGAGACAAAAAAAACATTTTTTTTTTAATTGTTTTGTATTATTCGTTGAAGAAAAAAAATACATTGTTGCATCTAAACTCTAGATATACAAAAAGAAATGAATTGTGTATTTTTTTTCTTAAGACATGTATGTATTTAAAACTAATATATATACCAAATCAATTTTAATTAAATAGTTTAACTTTTGGATAATGTCACTGTAGCACATGGAACTTTTAACGTTTGGCTAATTTGATCCTTAAAGTTTTTTTTTGGTACATTAGACCATTAAACTCGTAACTGACCTTTTAATTACACCATTTTAGCAACTTTTAGAAGGTTTCCCGGTTATACGATGCCATTTTCTCAATTAATATATATTTTTTGTCTAATCCGATGTCACGTGAGATATGCCACATCAATTAATGAAATACGACGCTTAAAGCCTTTCGTCTTTAGCTATCGAACTTTACTAGTCTTCTTCTTCATTATTGAGCTGTAAAAGAAACTGATTTAGGGTTTGTGAAGCATTCCTATGATCGAGCTGAAAGAAAAAAAAGAACTCGCAACAATGGCACAATCGGAACCTAATGGACTATTTGCGATGGTGGAACTCAACTACCATGGGGTATTTAATCGAAATCCTTTCTCTTACACTGGTGGTGTTAAAACCATCTTCAATGATGTTGACTTTTCTTCTATAACTTATTCTGAGTTTGTGACCTTCTGCGAACGTTTCATGCATGAAGAGTGTAAAAAGTTTTACTACTGTGAACCAGACATGTCCTTCATGGAAGGCCTTAATCCCATTTCAGATGATGTGGAATATTCTGCTTTTATTTTTGATGCTTATGGAATAGATGGTGTAATTTCGGTTTATGTGGATCATATTGGGGTTGGTGTTGATGGGTGGCATGATGATGAAGATAATGATGATGATGAACATGAGTCTTGTATTGATGGTGAAAATGAAGACAACATAGATGAACTTAGAAATGTTGCCTTTGAATTTAATGAGGATGTAGTGCATATGAATAGGACATCAAATGATCCTTTCTTGAGTAAGCTATGTGTTGATGATGAGGATGCAAACAACATTGTAGATGATGACAATGGGAGAGAAGTTGAAGTTAACATACAAGCTCATTCCATATTTAATGAGCTATTGCACTGGAAAAAACAAAAACCAATTCCAGGGATGAGATTTAAGGGTCCATGGCAAGTAAAATCAATGTTGTGTAACCATGCTGTAGCTAATGGATATCAATTGTGTTTTGAAAAAAATGATCAGACAAGACTTTTGGTGAGGTGTAGCAAAGGTGCTTGCACATTTAGATTATGGGCTTCCTGGATGAGTGATGAAGAGAGTTTCCAAATCAAGTCACTAAAAGCTGATCATAATTGTGCTAGGAACTTCAAGTTTGGATCATTGGTGACATATGCATGGATTGGGAGTCACTATACCAAAGAGATTGTAGAAAGTCAGAAAATAAGTGTAAGGAAGCTTAGGTTAAAGGTAATGGCCAAGTTTGGTATCCAAGTTAGTATGGGGCAATGTAGAAGAGCAAAGAAGTATGCACTGAAACTTGTTGAAGGAAACCTTGTTGAACATTATGGTAAGCTATGGTCATATGGTCATGAGATTTTAAGGACAAATCCTGGGTCAACTGTGAAACTAGATATGGAGGATGGGCCAGATGGAAAGAAATATTTTAGCAAGTTCTATTGTTGTTTTCAAGGAGTTAAACAAGGTTGGATTGAAGGGTGTAGAAGGGTAATTGGTCTTGATGGATGTTTCTTAAAGGTGTTTGTAAGGGAGAATTGCTTTGTGCTATTGGGAGGGATGCAAATGACAAGATATATCCTATTGCTTGGGCAGTGGTTAATGTGGAGAACAAGCAGAATTGGAAGTGGTTTCTAGAGCTTCTCATTGATGATCTACACTTGAATTTAGGCAATGGTTTCAGTTTAATGTCAGACCAACATAAGGTTAGTATTTTACATAGTAATGCATTTATGTTAATTTTAGACTATCTGAATTTAACCTTTTTACTAATACAGGGTTTGATAGAGGCTGTTAAAGAGTTGCTGCCATATGTAGAGCACAGGCAGTGTGCTAGACATATTTGCCAGAATTTGCAGAAGAGATTTACTGGTGCCATATATCATACCTTGTTTTGGAGAGCATCTAAAGCCACAACTGAGCATGCTTTTAAAGTTGTGATGAAAGAAATTGAGACATTGAACCCAGAAGCCCATCAATATCTCATGGAGAAAGATCCTAAAACATGGTCTAGAGCTTTCTTTCAAACTGGAAGGTGTTGTGATGCAGTTGAAAATGGGTTCTCAGAAAGTTTTAATGATGTAATAGTAGATGCTAGGAAGAAACCCATAATAACCATGTTAGAGGAGATAAGATTATACATGATGGATAGAATCTACAACATGAAATTAAAGGGACAACAATGGGGAAATCATATTTGTCCAGAGATAAGGGATAAGGTGAATTTGCTTAAAAAAGCTCAAAGGCATTATCAGGTACTACCAAGTGGATTAAACCAGTTTGAGGTAAGGGGAGCAATAGATGCATATGAGGTGGACTTAGAAAAAAAAAAAACATGCTCATGTAGGTTGTGGCAATTGAATGGATATGGATGTGCTCATTCTGTAGCTAGCATATCCTTTCTTAATAGGGATGTAGAAGCCTATGTAGACAACATGTTTAGCTCAACCACATTTAGAAAGGAATACAATTACAGAATTGCTCCCATGAATAGTAGTGACATGTGGCCAGAGACAAACTATACTCCACCATTGCCTCCTATTAATAGAAGGATGCCTGGTAGGCCAACTACTAAGAGGAAGAAATCCACTACAGAGAATACAGGAACACACAAGGTTTCTAAGGATGGAAAGAAAATCAGATGTAGTATTTGCAAGGAGATAGGTCACAACAAGGCCACTTGTCCACAGAGAAGGCCCCAAAAGTTAAATGTGAAGAAACAGAAGAAACAAAAAGTATGTGTGAACCAAAATGCAGGACAGGTAAAACAATTTAAAATATAAGATTAATTACATATAATTTGTTACTAATATAATTATATCATGCCATTTAGGGTAGTACAAGTGAACCACAACAACATGAAGAGGTTGAAATGACTCCAATTGAGATGGATACTACTCAAAATGATATGCAAGTTGCTCCTACTGATGTTGAATCTAGTAGTGCAGGGGATTTTATTCAATATGTGCAATTCACTCCACCTAGAAGTTATGAAGGTGATGAGGGTGTTATGGGTGAGGAAGCTGATGTGGTTGAGGAAGCTATTGTGGTTGAGCAAGTTGTTCAAGATGAGGAGGCTGAGGAGGTTGATCCTGTTATACAAGTTGATAATGTAAATGTTCAGGAGGTTGATGAGGTTAATCATAATGCCCAAGTGGATAATGGTAATGTTCAGGAGGTTGCTCCTGTTAACCAAGTTCAACACGTTTGTGTTAGGCCAATTTCAGATATTTTGAAGAGGATAAGGAGAAGAAAGTCAGAGAGAATACTAAAGCTGAAATTAGGCAAAAAAATTGGTGGTGTTGATGATCCAGGAAATTCGAAGGGAAAAGCTCTTGTAATTGATTAGTGTTTATTGTAATTTGTGTTTAAAGTTTATGTAATGGGATGATGATAAATTGGATTTTAAGTTTATGTAATAGGATGATGGTAATTTATATTTAAAGTTTATGTAATAGGATGTTGGTAATTTATATTTAAGTATGTGTGACATTAAAGGGTATTTTGGTCATTTAAGTATGTATGAAAGAAAAAGGGTAATCTGGTCATTTAAGTATTTATGACAGAAAAGGGTATGTTGGTCATTTATTTATTGATGAAAATAAGGGTATGTAGGTAATTCATTTATGTATGCAAGAAAAGGGTAATTTGGTCATTCCGTATTTATGACAAAAAGGGTAATTTGGTCATTTATTTATTGATGACAGATAAGGGTATGTAGGTAATTCATTTATGTATGCAAGAAAAAGGGTAATTTGGTCGTATAAGCATGTATGACAGAAAAGGGTAATTTGGTCATTCATTTATGTATGTAAGAAAAGGGTAATTTGGTTATTTAATTATGTATGATAGAAAAGGGTATGTTGGTCATTTATTTATGTATGCAAGAAAAGGGTATGTTGGTCATTTATTTATGTATGACATGAAGTATGAAAGTATGTTACCATTTTAAGTAAAATCATGACATTTGGCTTTGAATATTTATGCATGGAAAAAATTGGAATAATGTGCATGCATGGGGATGGTTTATATGGCCCCGGATTTGGTTTTTTAATGGCTTCACAGGTCCTATTTTTTCATTATTAAAATGGTCTCCATACATATAGTGTACTTCCACATGGACCACTTCCTAATTAGAAATATTTATTGGGAATATAGACCATGCATATGTTTGATAAACATCATCTGGTTATACAAAATGCCCTACAATTGGGATTTTGAATATTTTTTTTACATTACTTATCATATGCCCTTTCATTAGGGACTTACCACCTTACAACATCAACACATTAAGGTTAATAACCCCTACTTATAACTAAAACCAGCTTCAATACATACAAAATGCCCTTATGGAACTGACTTTCTAGTCTGCCTTTACAAAAAATACAAGGGATCCCAAAAAAACAAAAGCTTACCCTAACCAACCAAACTAACTACATTGACCCCCCTAACTTCAAAACACATAGGACCAAGCAACCAAACAATAGGGCAACTATCATCCTGTACCTGCCTATTGACTTCATTGCATCATGAACTTCTTTCTCACTCTTTACCACCTTATACTGCTCCTGTGACAGCAAAAAATCCACTTCAACAATCCTTCTCCTCAAATTTTTCATCTCAGACATTTCATCTTTAGCATCCAGTTTCTGCTTCAGAGAATATAGTAGGTTTGTGTAGTACCCGTCTGCCTGTTCTTCATCTTTCCATTCAAAGAAGCTACATTTCCTCAACCTAGTCTATAAAAAGACAATAAAATTACGGTTTGACTGACAATCACAAATCAACTACCTTTAATGTACCATCGAAATGGGTTTTATTCACAGTGATCGTCAAGAAGGAAATAAAATTAGGGTTTTTAACAGATGAAACAAAATACAAGTACACCATTGTCATTTTTACAGAAAGAAACAACACACCAAACCATAAAATACTAACTTATCAAAATCAAGAGAATCGGGACCAACCATACTGTTTTGATAATTCCAGAATCGCCTCCCAGGGTTTGTTATCTTCCAACAAGTTCGTTCTTTAGCTGGAACGACACAATCACAAACCTTTACCCCTTCTTGCGACTGAACATGAGTGACTTGTAGCTGATTCCTTGATGTCGATGAGCTCGAAGACATTCTTCTTCAGGATGGAAATAGTCGGGGAGGGAGAAGTCTTTGACTTTTCAAAGAAGGGTAAGTAAAGATTGAAAGGAGGTCCGAATGAGGGTTTCAATTAATAAGCCTGTATCGACAACTGGACCACGTAAGCTTATTGGACACATCAGCGTGCTATATAAGCATTGTAACTGGGAAACCTTCTAAAATGGTGTAATTAAAAGGTCAGTTACGAGTTTAATGGTCTAATGTACCAAAAAAAAAACATTAAGGACCAAATTAGCCAAATGTGAAAAGTTACATGTGCTACAGTGACATTTTCTCCATTTAGAACTTTTTCTACCAGTTTTTACTTAAGATAGTATTTATTGGTTCATATTGGAAAAAAAATTGATTGTTAATTTTTATAAGTACTTGTTGGTTTAGATTAAAAAAATTATTAGTATAATGTTTTAAGTACAAAATCAGCAATCACTTCTAACAAATAAAAAACAAAATAAAACAAATATTCAAATAGCTTGTTTCGATAACCATTATTTGAAAAAAAAAGTTCAAAGAATAAATATAAAGTAGAATGAACCAAACAAAATAAATGAAAGATATATTCAATATCTTTTTGACTTTATATCTTACTATTTTTTTTTACAGATATTGGTTATCGAAATCTTATTTATTTTGTAAGAAGCAATTGTTGGTTTTGCACTTAAAACATTATATCAACAATTTTTTTAATCTAAACCAAAAAGAACTTCTTATAAAAACTAACAACAATTGCTTTTCAATATAAACCAATAAATATCATTTTAAGTAAAAACCATCTGAATAATTAATATACTAATAAACCGGAATATTGGGGGAAAATAATTATGAAATTAAACTATTCATTTGGTATATAATAGTTTTAAATACATACATTTCATAACAGAAAAATACACAGTTCTTTTCTTTTTGTATAGCTAGAGTTTAGATGGAACAAGAAAAAAAATCTTATTTTTTCTTCAATGATAATACAAAACAATAAAAATATGATATTTTTGTCTCTTATAATACTATTAAAAAAATATTCTCTTTTTTTTGTGTTCTAATCCGTACGAACCATTTTTTTTCTTTTTCTCTAGTTTGAGGTGTACAAACAAAAAAAAAACACTTTTTATAGCAAAAAGTAAAAAGAAGTATGATAAAAAAAACAGCAAAATGATTAAAAAAACGAAATTTTAAGAAAAAATTAAAAAATTAAAAACTACACCTATTTGGTCAATATTTTTAAAACTATACATGTTTGGTAAAAAAAAAATTTCAAAAACACCATTTTGATTAAAAACTCGTTTTCGAAGCATTAAAATGCATCTCAATTGTAATATTTCTTTCTTTTAGTGAGAAGTGAAACGACAAAATTGCAAGTTTGGTCCCTGTGGTATGTCAAAAATTGGATGTTTGGTCCAAAAAGTTTTGGGGTTGCACCGGTGGTCCAAAAGCTTTGATTTGTTGTGGAATTGGTCCAAAGGCTTAACAGCCGTCTACCCCCTCCGTCTGTGTGAGGGTATTTTTGTCAATTCACGCCCATTCCTTTGATTGCTTATTAAATTAAACCCCCCTAACTAACGTCTACTCTCCTTACTAATAGATCGGACGTGTGTTTCGTCTTTTCCCTAAATCGAAATCTCCTCCTCATCTTTTCCCTAAAATCAAAATCGTGTCTTCCAAACTCAAAGTCAACAATGGTGAGGTGTTTCTGTGGTCAAATGGCGATAGTGCGAACGGCTTGGAATGATAAGAACCCTGGTCGACGTTTTTAGGGATGCCCTAAAGAGGTTAGTATTAATGTGGTTGGTTATGAAGATTTTTCACTGATCACTCAATTCCTTCTTATATTTTGCTAGGATTCGACATGTGGGTTTGTGGGATGGATCGACCCTCAAATGTGTGAACGATCAAAATCAATAATACCTGGGTTGTTGAGATCAATCAACAAGCTAAAGACTGAAGTTAGAAAATTGAAGGAAGAAAATCAAATGTTCAAGTATGATATTGGAAAAATAAAGGAAGAAAAATCAAAACTAAAGTTGTACCTGATATGTAGCTGGGTTTTTTTTGGGTTTGTATTTGTTCTGATGAAGTAGTTCGTCCATGTTTTAGTGGTTTATTTTGTGGTAGATTTGGGAAAATTGCTATGTTTGTGAACGTACTCTTTTGGACATGCAAGTGAATGTATTGTTATGGTTAGTGGGTAATGAAGTTATTTGTTTCAAACATCTAAATATTTTTGTTCAACTAGACATAGAAGTGATGGGACAAACTATTAATGCTTAACATAACCTAATAGTAACATAAAGATGCTAAAAAGTAAAGGACAATGATGCATAAACAAAAGAACATCCAAAGTTAATAACCATTGTTTGCACATACCAAATTCTTGTTGCATGACCAAAAAAAACATCATTCTAAACGGAGGGTGAAGTTGTCCAAAAAACATCAAAACCATAAAACAGACACCCAAAAGAACATCACAATAGTTCCCATAAGTAACACATTACATAGTCTTAATCCAACAAGACAACACATCAATTTCCTCTTTGCCCCTTACATGTTCTTGCATTATGTCCCTTGTTTTTACACTTGCTACAAGTGACAGTAATGAACTTCCTTGTGAGTTTTCCACTGCCCCTTGGACCATGACCATCTATACCACTAGCACCAAATGTTTGACTTTGACTTTGAGTTTGGCTCTGACTTTGAGATTTTTCCTCCATGGATCTTTGCCTCTTCTTCTTGGGCCTACGAGGCTGGTTACGATGTCGAGGAGGGCTGATCTTTATTGGACAATCACTAACAGTCCACATGATACGACCTTTGATTGGTTCTACCTTGTAGAAATAAGCCTCTTTCCAGGTTTCAAGCCAATGCACCTTGTGTACATAAGTGTAAAGTTCTCCCACATTCTCACCATTGCCAGCTTTATCAAATAGGACTGCAATCGCATGCCTACAAGGAATTCCTATTAATTCCGATTTCCTACAGTTGCATACCCTTTGGCCCATGTCAACAACATGTTGATCTTGCCATGGTCCTTGTACTTCATACTTGTCTGAGGAATTCCACCTGGCTATGTAGTTAGAAGCATTTTTTGTGTTTGTTTCCATGATCTTTGTTGTTGTTGGAGTCAATGGACCTACACACTTCTGTTGAACCTTTATCACATTGCAAATCCTCTTCATCATGTACTCCCGAATGTACTCTAAGCATGTGATTATTGGTTTATCCCTACCTTCTATCACTTTACTGTTAAACACTTCACATAGGTTATTCTAAAGCATGTCTGTGATTGGTCTACCTGCAAGACAATTGTAATTTAGAACAGCATACAACAAATTTGTGTAACTTAGCACTAAATTGAGAGTTGTCTACCTGTGAAATGGCTTCTAGCCCAGTGTTGTGGTGGGATCTTCTTCAACCATTCATAAGCTTCTATGTCATATTCACTGAACTCTTTCATCAAACGATTGAATTCTTGCACTGTTGTTGCTTTGGTACAGTTCCATAACTTTTCTTTGTACTCAGTAGTTCTCTATCTCTTCCTCATGTTTTCATAGATATGTCTAAGATAGAATCTGTGTTTAGCAACAGGGAACAACTGTGCAATGGCTCGAATTAAGCCCTACAAAGTCATTAAATTGTGGTTAGTATAATACAAGTGTAATAAGAAAACTAAAATACATCAAGGAAATCTATTACCTTTTGTCTATCACTTATGAAAGTGAAGTTTGAAAGTTGTGACAGGTCCAAATCATCTCCCAGGTACTCTAGAAATCATTTCCAACTCTGTGTGTTCTCAGACTCAACAATGGCGTATGCCACTGGGTATATACCATTGTTAGAATCTAAGCCAACTGTAGTCAAGATCTGCCCTGGGTAAGCTCCTTTCATGAAGGGCCCATCTAAACCAATAAAATCCCTTAAGCATGCTTTGAACCCCTTTTTCATTCCACCTAAGCAAATATAAATTCTCTGAAAACATCTTGAAGTTGCATTTACAAGATTTGGTTGTTCAACCAGTTCCATTTTCACAGTTGTGTTAGGATTTGTGGACTGCAACTCTAATATGTAATCTCTCAGCACATCATATTGTTTTGTGTAATCTCCCATCACATGTTTTTTGGCATCTGCTATAGCCCTAAATACCTTGTCTTTGGAGAAGCTCACCTGATATCTTTTCTGAAGTAGTTCTTGTACAGCTTTGATTGGCACAATTGGGTTAGATTCCACTAGATCCATAATCTGTTTAGAGATGAAGTTTGTTGTGGCCATTCTTACCTTTCTTGTATTGAGACATGAATGCTCAGGTTGGTAGGTTTTCACACACCAACTTTCTTCCTCACTTTTCCTAGATGCTTGTAAAACCCACTGACAAGACAGTTCAGTACTTGTAGTTGTCTTTTTACTTTTGCCTTTACTTTTCTTCCCAGTGGTAGGTCCATCCACTTGCCCCTCATTTAATACTACTTTTCCTTTGCATGTGGCCCACAACCTAAATTTATCATTTTTCTTAATAAAAAGATTTTTCCTGGTTTCCAAGGCATGAAGGGCAATTTTGTCTTTCAACTCTTTTTTACTTTTATATTTTTGTCCTATACGAAATGTTGGTTTATGAACTTCTCCTAAAGAACACCTTTTTTCCTTACCTAATTCTTTAATAACTTGTCTTATCTTCTTGCCCATCTCAGAATCATCATCTGCTGAATCCTATTCATCATTGTCAATAACATCCAACTCCATATCCTCATGCTCATGATTTCTATCTTTCTCCATGATATTTCTTAGTCTTTTCTCAAAAAACTATGCTTCAATGTCAATGCTCACGTGGAAATCCCTCATATCCACTTCAACTTCAGGAATGATATTCTCTTCATCCACCCAATCACTATCCTCATTATCCTCACTGTCATCTTCCTCATCACAGTGACTACCCTCTCCCCTATCAGATATGCTCCCATCTTCTCCATCAGATTTGCTCCCATTATCATGCTCCACTTCAGTCTCCATGTAATCATCCATGTTGTTTTCTATGTAATTATCCATGTAATTATCCATGTTATCTTCCATGGCAGCCTCATGTCCATGATCCAATTCCACTTTATCTTGTACATTTTCTTCTACTTCTACTTGTGGATGTTCTTCTACTTCATCTTGAACATGTTCTTCCACTTCTACTTGTACATGTTCATGAACATCTGCATTTGATTGTAATATCTTTGATACAAACCAATATCAAATTCTGTAGTTGCCTCCATAAAGTCATTGGCAATAAGCTCTTTTTGTCTATCATGAACCTCGACATGTGATGGTTGTACCTCAACCTCAACAAGGGATGATCTAGGTGGGCTTGGTAAATCTTGTACCTCAGCTGTGGGGTTTTTATTGTCATCATTTTCATCTATTTCATCCATTTGTACAATAGTTACCTTCCTAACAGGTTTAGGATTCATAAAGTAGGTAAGTAACTTTGTCTCACCATGTTCAATATATACCCTCTTGATTTTGTGATCACACACATATTGGGCAAAAGTTCATAAATCATCATCATTGCCTAAGGGTTTAAGACCAAAGTGGAAATCTCCACTAGGCACAAGAAAGTGATAGTAAATCACAGGAGGAACACCGTACCTAAACCCTTTCATGATAGCATCCAACTCATGAACTGAAAACGTGTCTATATCCACCATGTCAACATAGTTCACACTCCCGTCAATGTATTGAACATCAAGAAACTTGGTGAACTCACCTCCATGGTATAACTTGATGGTAAATAATGTTCGGTGGCCATCTTCAAACCAACAACAAAAATAAGTTCAGAAGCATGATTTCACATACAAAACATGTAATGTACAGAGTAATTACAAAATCCTTACCATAAGCCACCTTTGCGTTGAATGGTTTGTCTAAGAGCCTTATATTCCACATTGGTATGTTCATACACTGAAATAACACCGATCACAATAAAAAACTCAACTTGGAGGTTAAGGCTTCTGGGTAACGAATGAAGATGAAAGTGACACGAGAGTCAATCGACGAAATGCATAAAGGATTTGGTGGTAGGTATCAATTAATTAAGATGATAAGGTTTAATTTAATAAGATATCAAAAGAATGGGCGTGAATTGACAAAAATACCCTCACACAGACGGAGGGGGTAGACGGCTGTTAAGCCTTTGGTCCAATTCCACAACAAATCAAAGCTTTTGGACTACCGGTGCAACCCCAAAACTTTTTGGACCAAACATCCAATTTTTGACATACCACAAGGACCAAACTTGCAATTTTGTCGAAGTAAAACATTAGTATTACTTGTCCAATTTATTTCTAGATTAAATACTAGAAAGTGGTTTCTGAGCTTGGTAATTTGTATCTAAATATGGAAGGTGATCACTACTAGAAAATGAGGGGTTTTGCCACAGGAAAATAGCTACAGAAAATTTTCGTAGGTAATTAGCTACATAATACTAACGGAATTCCTACGGAAATGGATGCCCTAAATTAGTAACGGAATTATTACAGAATAGCTACGGAATAACGACGGACGCACATCCGTAGCTATTCTGTTGGTAATTTAGCTACAGAATAGCTACGGAATTGCGACGAAAGTAAGCACGCAAGTATTCCGTAGGTAAATAGCTACAGAATAGCTACAGACTACCCACAGAAGAAAATACCTACAAAATAACTACAAAATATCAATGACTTTATTATTATTATTATTATTATTATTATTATTATTATTATTCAAGTTAAAATTCTTTTTTGGATCGTTTTGTTTTAAATATTTAAAACACAAACGATTAAAAACAAACAAATTAAAAATCATACTAATGGTAATATTAATATTAATATTTATAAACATAATGATAATATATACTAATCATAACGAATGTTTTTAACACATAAACAAATGAACAAACGAAAAAAGAAACGTTTAACACATCAATAAGGTGAAATAATATATACATTTAATCTATGAATAATGAAAAATGATGATGATTAGCTAGGGGAAATATGTATATTAATTTGTATAAGTGTATGTATGTATGTATTTATTAATTTAAGTATGTATTGAGTATATGTACGTATGTTTATGTATATGTATGTACGATATGTGTGTGTATGTGTGCTTATGTATACGTATGTGTGTATATATGTATGTGTATGTGTATTTGAGTATGTATATGTATGTGTGTATGTGCATCTATGCATATACACGGTTTTATATACATTTATATGATGTATAACTTTACGAAAACAAAACAATCAAAGTATAATGATGTTGTGAAAAAAACAGAATAAAAAAAATGACATTTGACCCTTGAAAAATAGAAAATAAAAAAAATCGTAGGTAAATACCTACGGATAAAGGTTATCCGTAGGTATTTACCTATCGATTACCTACGATTTTTTTTTTGTATTTTCTAATTTTTATGGGTAAATATTGTTTTTTCAGTTTCATTTTTTTCAAAACATCACTATACTATGAATGCTTTGGTTTCACCAAATTATATATAAACTAAACTTACATACAAAGGTATGCATCGTTAGAACCCATTACTTATTTTATTATTCTGTTTTTATATAATATAAATGAAAGTTATTTTCTATACACAAATAAAATAAGTATACACACTTACATACAAACCATATACATATATTATGTTTGGTATATCACGTATTTGTTTAATGAGGTCAAATTGTGGCTCAAAAACAAATATAAATAGCTTTTTGTTTTGATATATAGTAATGAGTTCTAATGATGCACATTTTTGTACATACGCTTATATGATGTATAACTTTATGAAAACAAAGAAAGTATAATGAAGTTGTGAAAAAAATGAAATGAAAAAAATGACGTTTGACCACTGAAAAATAGAAAATACAAGAAAACTGTAGGTAATCCGTAGGAAAATACCTACAGATTACCTACGGATAAAGGTTATCTGTAGGTAATCTGTAGGTATTTACCTACGGATTTTTGTATTTTCTAGTTTCTAAGCGAAAATATTGTTTTTTTCAATTTTATTTTTTTCACAACATCATTATACTTTGAATGTTTTGTTTTTGCCAACTTATACTTAAACTAAACTTACACACAAAGTATGCATCGTTAGAACCCATTACTTATTTACAACTTTATTATTCTTTTTTTATATAATATAAATGAAAGTTATTTTCTACACACAAATAGAAATAAGTATACACAATTACATACAAACCATGTATGTATTATGTTCAATATATCAAGTATTTGATTAATGGGGTCAAATTATGGCTAAAAAACTAACATAAATATCTTTTTGTATCATATATAGTAATGAGTTCTAATGCATATTTTTATACATATGTTTATATAAGGTATGACTTTGTGAAAACTAAGCAATGAAAATTTAATGATGTGAAAAAATGGAACGAAGAAAATGACATTTGACCCCTGAAAAAAAAACAAATAAAAAAAAAATCGTAGGTAAATACCTACGGATAACCTTTATCAATAGATAATCCGTTGGTATTTACCTACGGATTACCTACGGTTTTTTTGTATTTTCTCTTTTTTAAGGGTAAATATTGTTTTTTCCGGTTTCATTTTTTCAAAACATCATTATATATACTATGATTGCTTTGCTTTCACCAAATTATATATAAACTAAACTTACATACAAATGTATGCATCGTTAGAACCCATTACTTATTTACAACTTTATTATTATATTTTTATATAATATAAATAAAAGTTAGTTTCTATACACAAATAAAATAAGTATACACATTTACATACAAAGCATATTCATAGATTATGTTCGGTATCACGTATTTGTTCAATCAGGTCAAATTGTGGCTCAAAAACAAATATAAATAGCTTTTTGTTTCATATATAGTAATGAGTTCTAATGATGCACATTCTTGTACATACACTTATATGATGTAACTTTATGAAAACAAATAAATCAAAGTATAATGAAGTTGTGAAAAAAAATGAAACGAAAAAAATGGCATTTGACCATTGAAAAATAGAAAATACAGAAAAAAACCACTGGTAATCCGTAGGTAAATACCTACAGATAACCTATGGATAAAGGTTATCCGTAGGTAATCTGTAGGTATTTACCTACAGATTACCTACGGTTTTTTTGTATTTTCTAATTGTTAAGGGCAAAAATTGTTTTTTCAGTTTCATTTTTTTACAATATTATTATACTTTGAATGCTTTGTTTTCGCCAACTTATACTTAAACTAAACTTACACACAAAGTATGCATCGTTAGAACCCATTACTTATTTATGACTTTATTATGTTTTTTTTATATAATATAAATGAAAGTTATTTTCTACACACAAATACAAATAAGTACACACATTTACATACAAACCATGTATGTATTATGTTCAGAATATCATGTATTTGATTAATGAGGTCAAATTATGGCTAAAAAATAAACATAAATAGCATTTTGTATCATATGTAGTAATGAGTTCTAATGATGCACATTTTTGTACATACATTTATATAATGTATTACTTTGTGAAAACTAAGCAATGAAAGTATAATGATGTTGTGAAAAAAATGGAACGAAGAAAATGACATTTGACCCCTGAAAAATAAAAAATAAAAAAAATAATCGTAGTTAATCCGTAGGTAAATACCTACGGATAACTTTTATCCGTAGATAATCCGTAGGTATATACCTATGGATTACCTTCGTTTTCTTTATATTTTCTAATTTTTAAGAGTAAATATTGTTTTTTAAGTTTCATTTTTTCACAACATCACTATACTTTGAATGTTTTGTTTTCACCAACTTATAGATAATCTAATCTTACATACAAATGTATGCATCGTTTAAAATTCATTATTTATTTACAACTTTATTATTCTCTTTTTATATAATATAAATGAAAGTTATTTTCTATACACAAATTCTAATAAGTATACACATTTACATACAAACCATATGTCTGATTACGAAGAGAAGATTTTCTTAGAAGATTTTCAATTTGGATGAGACGAGAAATAGAGGAAGCAGTGTTTGAAAGATTGGGAGAGTGTAGTCTTTGAATAATTAATTACACCCTAAATACAAATGAAGGGAAAAATTGACAATTTACTTTAACAATCATAGATCAACAAAAAAAACTGTGGAAGTATCACTCGCCATAAATAAGACATATAAAAAAAGACCAATTTTTTTTAGTTATTTTCATCAATTTGCAATTTACCAATTTGTCAATAATTAGAGATTGTGACAACCCAAAGTTTATTCCGTTATATTACCCCGTTTCCATTAACGGAATATTCTATTTTATAAACATTCTGTTAATTTAAGGTCGTCAAATAAATAAATGTCTTAGTTATTTATATATATTTTATGTCGTTATCGTCGTGATAAATAGATACAAACACGTAAATTACATTTCCATTTAGTTGGAAAAAGTTAATTTTTATTACAACCATTTAATCAGGTAAAAAGCTTAAATCTTGGTAAATTTTAGTATCGGGTAGTCGTATACCGGGTGCAACACCCAAGATATATATATATATATATATATATATATATATATATATATATATATATATATATATATATATATATATATATATAGGCAGTTGGGTACTCCATTTGAAACTTTTACCACCCTAAAACCATTTCCTCCCTCTACCCTTTCTCTCAAGCTCATTTCCAACTCAAATCCGCGAGTTTCCGCCTCCGAATCCTAAGTTCTTGCACCCTATCTTGTTTTACAACCCATTGCATGTCATTATAACTCAAAAATCGTCCAAGAAGGCAAGGAGTAAGGAGTTTACGACCCAAGAACACTCTAGGGCCGTAAACCCCTAAAATGATGCCAAACTTGCCCTAAAACTCCTCCTTAAGGTTGGAAACTAATTTAGGATTAAGCCTAGAAGTGTTTGAACCTCAAAACACCAATTTTTAGAGCATAAAAGAGGGTTTACGGCCCAAGAACATGCTTAGGCCGTAAACAACCCTCTAACCATGTAAAAGTGCCCAAAAACACTTCCAAATCATGTTTAAGCTTGAGATATGACTTAGGGGATTTCCATTTCGAGTTTGAAACAATTAAACATCATCATTTGAGAGGCAAACTAGAGTTTACGGCCCAAGCATATGCTTAGACCGTAAACTCCCCTAAACCAAATGAATGTTTAAGTCTCCTAAATGGCCCTATACCTTCACTAGAAATTGTTGGGGTTGAAGCAAGGACCTTAAAATCAAAGATTGGAGGGTGCACAAGAGTTCACGGCCTAAGCCATGGGGCTTACGACCGTAAACTCCCAAGGAGTGGCCTTTGGGCCGTAAACTCCAAGGGAGTAAACTCTTGGACCCTTAAACACCCTTATAGCCTTGTACAATTTCTTAAAAACTATT